CCGTTGTTTTCATTCCAATTCCGTTGTTTTCATTCAAATTCCGTTGTTTTCATTCAAATTCCATTGTTTGTTTTCAAATTCCGTTGTTTTCATTCAAATTCCGTTGTTTTCATTCAAATTCCGTTGTTTTCATTCAAATTCCATTGTTTGTTTTCAAATTCCGTTGTTTTCATTCTAATTCCGTTGTTTTCGTTCAAATTCTGTTGTTTTCGTTCAAATTCTTTGGTTTTTGATCAAATTCTGTTGTTTTCATTCCAATTCCATTGTTTTCGTTCAAATTCCATTGTTTGTTCTCAAATTCTGTTGTTTTCATTCAAATTCCGTCATTTTCATTTTAATTCTGTTGTTTTCATTCTAATTCTGTTGTTTGTTCTCAAATTCTGTTGTTTTCATTCAAATTCCGTTGTTTTCGTTCAAATTCCATTGTTTTCATTCAAATTCCGTTGTTTTCGTTCAAATTCCATTGTTTTCGTTCAAATTCCGTTGTTTGTTTTCAAATTCCGTTGTTTTCATTCCAATTCCATTGTTTTCGTTCAAATTCCATTGTTTGTTGTTCTCAAATTCTGTTGTTTTCATTGAAATTCTGTTGTTTGTTTTCAAATTCCGTTGTTTTCATTCAAATTCCGTTGTTTTCGTTCAAATTCCATTGTTTGTTCTCAAATTCTGTTGTTTTCATTGAAATTCCGTTGTTTGTTTTCAAATTCCGTTGTTTTCATTCAAATTCCATTGTTTGTTCTCAAATTCAGTTGTTTTCATTCAAATTCCGTTGTTTTCATTCCAATTCCGTTGTTTGTTTTCAAATTCCGTTGTTTTCATTCAAATTCTGTTGTTTTCATACAAATTCTTTGGTTTTTGATCTAATTCTGTTGTTTTCATTCCAATTCCATTGTTTTCGTTCAAATTCCATTGTTTGTTTTCAAATTCTGTTGTTTTCATTCAAATTCCGTCATTTTCATTTTAATTCTGTTGTTTTCATTGCGTTCTAACCCAGTACTAACACAATGTACCTAATTTAGTTGCCAGGGAGCTTAAATATACACATTTTCCTGTATTTGTTTAACACATTTTGCATTTGTTTTAGGATACTGTCTAAATGTAGATGGCTTATCTTTCAATAGGGTTAACACAATTCTACACTGTTGTCTATTAAATATAAATTTTTCAAAATATAATTTATGAATAATTATGCAAACTCTAGAAGGAAGCATTTTTGCTTTTATTGTGGAGCCTTTTTTTATAATTTGACCTTTTCACTCTGTATTAATTGATAAATGCAATATCTTAGAAATAACAAAAGGGACAAAAATATATCATTAACTCACCACACACACAGACACACACACCTGCAGACCCACATGCATCTATTCAGATATTAAACGTGTGTGAACATGCATTGTGAAATGGAGCAGAGCCCTCTGTCACATTAAATTAAACTGAGTCAGTGAACACTGTGATTCTATGGACACTGCGTGCCTTTGTGCTACACACACTCGAGTGGATTCAGTTGCTAAAATTTGCAAATCATCCTGTTTCTGGAAAGACCCTGAAGTCTTGCTCAGTTTTTCGTGAGGAGATCAGACAGTCTTCATATTGTACCTTTTTTGGGGAACAAAGGTTTGGTCGGTTAAAGCTATTTTGGCTTTTTCACATAACTGACCTGAATGGACAGAGAGCTGCGTCTGTCCTTTAGTCAAATTTGATAAATGTTTTCTTTTCAGATTAAAGTTACTGAAGTAATGGGATCATCTTGACAGATATTGGAAGAAAAGGAAGCTCCTAAGAAGAACTTGAATCTCCTTCGGGAAGCCTGAAGAACTGTTCCTGACGATTACTTCAAGATATTACACAAAAGCTTGCCTCAGAGAGGTCAGAGCATAATGAAGATAAAGATGGTTTTGACTTTCCGGTTATAGAGATGTTTTTTACCTCAAACAACATCCTGTATTTCCATTTATTTTTGCACATTTCATTAAATCTGCACTTCTTTCCTGTTTGTTTTTGTTCGTTTATTTTAAATCTCTTTGTGAACTTTCAGGATGTAGCTTGAGATTTACCTCTTCTATAGTTCTGAATTAAACGCAGGTCAGTCTTTGTGATGTATGTTTCTCGTGTGTCCTTTAAATAAGCGGCTACAGAAGCAGCAGAAGGTCAGCTGACGTAACACAGATGAAAACAGCTGATCTAGCTATCAACGTTCTTGTAAAGCAGCGGTCCCCAACCGTTTTTGTGCCACGGACCGGTTTATGCCCGACAATATTTTCACGGACCGGCCTTTAAGGTGTTGTAGTACCGGTACTGAAAAAAAGAAGATTTATTCATAACACACGTGAAAAGACCCAGGAAAACCGAGTTAACGATAAAAACGATAACAAAATAACGCTGAAAACCAATAAAAACCCTGAAAACCACACATTTCACACCTGAGCCTCAACTCTCGCGGCCCGGTACCAAACGACTCACGGACCAGTACCGGTCCGAGGCCTGGGGGTTGGGGACTGCTGTTGTAAAGGTATTTACTTAATCTGTTAAAATTAACTGAATCAAAACTGATGTGAAAACAAAAGATAAAAAACTTACTTGAAAATTTGAAACAATGCTTCTTATTTCTTACATCTTAAATATTGGAGGAACCTGAACTTTTCTAACACTGAATAAATTTGTTATTCACAAGAAAATCAAATCTGCACTCACAAAGCAGGGAGGCAATCTAACTGTCAAGAGCTATAGGAATGTTTATAGACATCTCAAAATACAATAAAAATGCATTTGATTAAAAGGGATCCTTTATTTCTTCTATTGACCTTACACTATGTTTGCAAAATAAACAACCCAAAAACCATTCTCTAAGTAACACGAGCTGTTTTGTAATTCCCAAAGATGCTAAAATACGAGCATTCGTGCCTCCGCAGTGCAGTGAGCTGGCTTCACTTACTACGTATTTCTGCTGTGGCGTACTTTGGGATCATAGAGTCAGTCGTGAGCTCTGGATGAAGGATGCAGCCATGTGTGTACGCATCCATGGGCAGACCATCCAGTAGCTGACGGTACTGCTGCACACGATCGTAGAGAGGCGAGTCTGCGTCAGGGATCAGCTGAGCCACTGTGTCTGTGTGAGTAAGACAAGAGCATGAAAAAGAGAAAACATTTTTACAGGAATACAAACTGGGCAAAATGTAGTGAATCATAATTACATGCTGCAGAGCATTATTCTGTGGACTTTTTCTTAATCTGTCCAAAACCCCCAAGGTCTCTAAGCAACCACAGAAACCCAGAATAACACAGTTGTGCCAGATTCAGCTGTCAGACACACAACATGGTAACCTGGTAACAGGTGGAGGACTATAATAAACCACCCGTCACGTTTGACAAAGCCTGACATACTGAAACAATCTGAAACTAAAATTATAGACCTGTGGATGAATTCCTTTAGGAATTAGTTTACATCCATATCTGTTCAGGCTTATACACTCAGGTCCATAAGTATTTGGACAAACACATGTTTGCCTCTGTACACCAAATTCTTTCCCTTAATCCAGTCACCCTGTGGCAGTGCAGGTGAACATCAGAAAAACCACAGAAAAAAACTGACCTGTGTTTAGCTTCCTTTTATTTAACAAAAATTCCACTTGGATAATTGTTTACTGGTCAGGCACGAAATGTGTAAATTCTTTTGGCTTCTCAAGGTCAAGTCAATTCGAATAAAGTCACTTTTATTTTACAGTGCAACTGTGGTAATGTGACCCAAGTACATGTTTGTGCCAAATGTAAAGAAAATCCCTGAAAGTGTTCCTGACATACTGAGCTTTCAGAAATGATACAGATGTTAGGGCTGGAGGTGAGGTCACAGTGACCTTGATTACCAAAATCTAACCAGTTCATCCTTCAGGTGAAGGGAACAACAAGATCAACAACAATTTATGTTGAGTGAAAACACTAGACTATGGTATAACCCAAAGGTAGGCAACCCCGGGCCTCAAGTGACGGTGTCCTGCAGGTTTTAGATGTGTCCTTGGTCAAACACTGCTGATTTAAATGGCTAGATTACCTCCTCAACATGTCTTGAAGTTCTCCAGGCGCCTGGTAATGGACTAATCATTTGATTCAGGTGTGTAGACCCGGGGTGACATCTAAAACCTGCAGGACACCGGCCCTCGAACCCTGGAGTTGCCCACCCCTGGTATAACCACATGAGATTAAATTCCCGTTCCAGAGCAACAAAAACACAAATTAAACAATAACACTGTAATTAGACTCCATAACTTTGTTACATCATCCGCCTACTGACTCAATCTGTTCTGCTTACCTGCCGTTACAAGAAAAAAGCTGCATTATTATTATTATTATTATTATTATTATGATAGTGAATTATTATAGACTTTCTTGCAGACAGTTGCAGAAAAGATGGATTTCACTCTCATCAAGTTTTCATCCAACAGCTTATTAAGGCTTTGTTGCTAAGAAAATATAAAAGATGGAGGTACCTTCTCCATCCAAGACAACTTGGAGATGCTTTAAGCCTACATACTTTTTAAAGGCATACAGGACTCTGCTTGCAAAAAGACCTTGGTTCCAGTTCCTGGTAACTATATTCTCTCGGTCGCTACTGTCAGGTCAAAATGAATAAAACATTAACTCCGTTTTATAAATTATGTTCACAGAATAAACATAAATGAAGGTAATCTGGAATAGACTCATGATTATATCCCGTGAGTATGTAGTTTTTCTCTTTTACACCTGTTTTTAAAACACTAAGTTAATGATGGCAAAAAAAACACCAACCTGGAGGATTAAAAAAAGAGCCCAGAGACTCCAAAATATCTTGTGACCCAAAGAGGAGTCGGGTTGTTTGGAGAGTTTTCTCTTTTAGTGACTTTAGCTCAGGCAGGTCCTCCTCACACAGCGACAGGGAAGCACGTGAGGCATGTTGATTTTGTTTCCTGTTAAAGACTGATTATCAACATGTGCCAAATATTTTGTTACCAGAATTTAAGAGTGGATTTTTTCTGCCTGCTATCATATTAAAATGTTTTATATTGTCTATCCTTATAGCTACTGTAAACATCTAAAATGGCCTGCAAACATAAGCTTTATTAAAACAAAATACTTTCATCACATTTTCAGGCTGTAAGTCCAGTTTATTCTAACTATGCTGCACAAAGTGGGTTTGAAAAAATAATAAGATGAACTCTACAGTCTGTCTGCACCTTAACACACATAAAAAACACTTCCAACAACTTTTACTACCTCAGAGAGATCCCGCTTTTACATTTTGCTGCCCTAATTCTCGTGTCTGACAGCGCAGCGCCTGGCTGGGAGCGATGGTGTTCAGCATAATGACCTGCTGCTGAGATTCGGTACTGAAAGTGCAGAACAGAGGGAGCTTTTATCTTTCTGAAGGGTCACAGCCAGCCACATGCAGGGAAGGCATCGCTGACAAAACAGAGATAATCAGATGGGTGCTTGACGATGAGGAGAAGCTGAAGGAGGGTGGAGCTGCACGTGGCTGAGCTCCAGAGAGCTGAGTAATCAGTCTCTGGACCTGCATGCTGACCTGGGCATGCCCTGCAGTGGTTCTCTGCAGGAAGTCTGCTGCAGCACTGGTGATGGAAAGATTAAATTAGCAGCAAACTGTCAAGCAACTTCCCGACTGAGTTCATATATGTTCACAATGAGCATGACAAATATATAAGAACAATTTGGGCGATGATTGACATCTTTTTGCAAACAGCTTTTGCCCTGCTGTGCCTCAACAACACTGTAAAACTGTTGGCACTGCTCCACACTGCATATGCCTCCCGTTTCTGAGAAATCTGCCCTTTGCAGACCAGCTGCAGCCCACGTTGCCAGGATTCATTAGGGATTTAAAGGCAGAGAAAAAGCATGCCTGTAACTCATCCCCTCAAATTGACTCCTGGATGAAAGCTTCTGGATAAAACATGCATCAGACTTGTTTGACATTCAGTAGACAAAATAAACAAAACCAAAAAATGCAACAATAACAGCTTAACTAAATTATTAGAGTATAACTGGAGACTGATGAATGATTTTATATCTCTATGACTAACTTGCTCCAAAACAAGTTATTAGCACACTATCAAAAGACTAAAATGAAGTTAGCTGAATGAGATCATCAGACCCTGGGGTCAGCTTATGCACTCTAGCCTTTTATTACTGAGCAAGCAGTGAACCAGATCTTCTGCTGTTGAATTCAAAGCTCTAGGCGCTGCTCTAGACATGTGAGCACTAACTAAGCAGGAAAGCCATGAAGTTTTTCAGTTACAGACCTATGTCCCCAGGCATTTTCTGATCTGAGGCTCCCAGTTTGTTACATAATCTCTCAGCTGATAATCCTATAGAACGTGCCACCTACAGATACTACAGCACAACACAGATAACAGGATTCAGTGTATGCTTCTTAACATTTGCTTATTCTTTGAGCTGCATGTTTGCCAAGCCTGAATGTCTGTGTAGGCTCTCAGTCATCCAAGCCATGGCAGTCTTGAGAGCCTAAAAAGAAGGCAACTGTCTTTCTCTAGGTTTTTGAACACATTTAACCTCTTATCCAAGAGGGTCAGGACACCTTTTAAGGGTTTATTACCTGGGACTCTCTGCCACTTGTTTTAGAACTGAAGAAACTTTTTAGATGTCTTCAAAATGTCTTCAAACATGTAAAGAAATCCAGTTGCCTCCTTTTCAAGCTCAAGAGTCTGAATCTTAGTCATTACCTCACAGCGTACGTTCCTCCATATCCATCACAACTTCACAGCTACAGATGCCGCTTCTCTAAATATAGCTTTGATGGACTTTTTGTTTCAATCATTAAATTATGTCTCTTGTGTTTATATCTGTGTCTCGTTTGTGAGTGCCACAAATGTTCCCCAAGGGGTCACTCCAATTTTGTCTAATCTAATCAGCAAGGATCGTCTCAGTGACATTGGTGCAAAGACGTTGATGCAATGAGTTACAGTTTCACATTATAGTATGCACTGACACAGTCTGCACAAAGAAAACAGATGGCCTCCAATGGCTTCCAACAGTCTTTGTCACTCCAGCTTCCCAAACTGGGCGAATGAGGCCTCAAATTTTCTATAGCTCTAGTCAGAGATATAAGAGAGAGATGAAGCAGAAGAATCCCCTGTGTTGCATATCCCGCCCCCTTATAGGGCCGATATACTTTAATTTCAAGTGAATTTTATTACATTTTCTTAAATCACAACATCAATTGCCCCAAGGTGCTTTCTATTGTACGTTAAAGACCCTACAATAATTCAGAAAAAAAACAACAACAATCAGACAACCCCCCTATGAGCAAGCAGGCGGTGACAGTAGGGAGGAAAAACTCCCTTTTAGCAGGAACAAACCTCCAGCTGAAGACTTCAGGGAGTATCAACCATCTGCCGCGACCGGTTGGGTTGTGTTTATAACAAACAAACAGCCTCTAGGAGTGAAAAATGAAGCCAACATACAAGTGCCAAAAGTTAAAGTTTCTAAAATGTCCACCTTAAGTTGACCCCAAATGCAAATTCTTCGTAATAGACTCTCATGTTAAAAGGCCTGACTTTACAGCATTTTAAAATATGTTTATAGCTTGATACAAAAAGCAGTTTTGGCCTCTATGAATAGTTTCGTAAAAGCTCTAAACTGGGTCAAATTTTTATACCAGATTCATCTTAGTACTGCAGTTAGTGGTGTGGCAGCACTGATTGAGATGCCACATGTGTAATCAATCTCCGTCTGCTAGGTTAAACTTCTGCTGGAATTTTTGCTGCCTTCAGTTTTTACACCCACTTAACCTGTACAGCTGGTAACTCACAGAGGTGGCTTACATCAGAATTACAAATACTCATCCTCATCTTTATTGGTGATTACAGATCACAAACCTTTGGCAGAGCACGAGGTGGCGGTTGGGGGCTTGAGAGATGAATTAGTCTGGTATAGGTGGACTAATGCAAAAACGAGGAGTGCAGCACACATGCAATGAGCCGGCTTTGAATACTACAGTACCAATTTTTATAGTCTAACTTGGTACAATTAGCTAGTAAACATAACGAATTTTACTGGTTAACAACTCTCTCTCTGGTGGACTCTTTAAAAAGTAGATCTCTGTAAAAGGGCCTCAAACATGCACTTGATGGCTACATAAATATGTCAAGATAAAATAGAGAGGCTAAAGCTACGTCCAGACAAATAGCATCTAGACCCATTAAGGATCCATGAGGAAGATATGGAAATGAAAAGAACTTGGGGGTTTTTTTGCAGTGCAGCGTAAAGATGATTTTTCCTGCTATAGAAAGGATGCTTTAAGTTAAGTGGGACCTATGCAGCTTCCTTATTCCTCTATTATATAGTTACTGTTATCATGGTGGATGCTCATATGGCCAGTTTTAAATAACAAGGTCTTTGTAAGTGATTATCACTGAGAGAAAAAGCATTTTTTCTACCCATAGCTCTGTGTGACGTCAGAGAGAGGGGATGTTTCTTCAAGCTTTAGCAGTGACTACAGAAGCCCAATCAACCTACTGCCAAAATCTTTTGTTTTTGTTTATGAAGGGAAGCCAATAAAAAGAAAGTTTTAAAGTGAGAGCAAAAGGAGCTAAAACAGTGTTTTTCAGACAGTAAGCAGGAGAACTGAACGGCCACAGCAAGCACCAGATTAATAATACATGATAAATAGGGATTATTTTGAACTATGAATTATGCAACGCTTCTCTAATGGAGCATGAATGAAAATAATGAAAATATGCAAATGGAAATGACTCTGCCATCTTTAAACAAGAGAAAAGAAAGACAGCATTGTCCTACCTCCCACAAAGGTTTTCTCCATGTAATCTATAATCTGGTTGTAGTCACTAATGATGGTGTCTCCATGGAGGAAGACGGGCACCTCCTCGCCCAGGTTCAGCCTCATGAACCAGGGCTCCTTGTGCTCCTGCAGTGGCAAGCTCACATCCCTCTCCTCACAGACAAGACCCTTCTCATTAATGACGAGCCGTACCTGAAATTACAAAGGACGTGATTAGTCCAAACACATCCCCTGTTTTTTTATTTAATCACAACATGTATGTCTGGAAATATATTCAGTGGGTGAACATTTGCAATTTGTTACTAGACTATGAAGACAAAATAAGAGGACATTTCATCCATTTTTGGTTTAAGAAAAAAAAACTTGCCCACCAAAAAACTTGCCCACCAAAAAAAAAAATGTAAAATTAAACTCACTAAAAGCTTCCGCTCAGTTCATTACATTCCAAATTGCTGTACTGTAGAGAGAGCTGGTTGTTTGTGTGGTCTGCCAAGCTAATGAGATACACAGGGTGCTAGAGTTTGAGAAAAAAATCCAGGACAATCAGGATACATTACTAACGGCATGAAGGATAAGCCAAGGTCCATGGAGAGCTATTACTGGGAATAAGATTAATGAAAGAAGATGACACTTGGGGCATAAAGTGCTACATTTGGCGGAACGACAAAATGGGAATTTTGCTGAACACGGCCAGACATGGTGTAATGAAATAAACCTAAAGAATGTAGTAAAATAAGCATAGTAATTACAGCAGGACCAGTGGTTTTGGACACCAGGAACAAATCGATGCATGCAACTGAAATGTCAAAAAAAAAAAAGAAAAAAAAACTAAGCCTTTTATATCTCCATCAGCGTGGAAAAGAAACACTAAATCAGGGACTTCTATATAAAACCGCCAAATATTTCAGGTCCCTGTGTTATACTGCTGAGCTGTCCCTGGATGATACCCACAATAACACAGTCACCGTTGCATCGAGAGTTACATAATATTATTAGTCACTTCTTAGCAATGATGCCAAGTAGTTCAGCTGCTTGGGAAGCATAAAATTCACTCCTCTTACACTATACAATAAATGAACTTCATCTGCAGCTTGCTGTTATTAGGGATGAAAAGCAGTTAGTACTGCAAAGACATGATGCTACGTAATACATCTAAGTACACTTTTCTTTAAACATACGATGTACTATTTAAAAAGTCTAGTTGTGGCACTAATCAGATCTTAGTTATTAGCGTTTCCACCACCTTCTCTTATAATTTCATGTATCATCTTAGCGCCAGATATAATATTTTGCTAGAGGAATGCAACATGAAATGACGCAGTGATTAATGCGAAACTGCTCTTCTGATGGCACCTGGGGCCCATAGAATCCTATGTTAAAATTTGACACTATTTTACACCCTCTAAAACAATGTTTATGCCTTCAACGCTGCTTAATGTTGCTTGAGAGGCACTGCAAGCTCACTTTCAGTCTTCAAAACTCACTTTCTGGTATTTTATTAGCCTGTCAGTTACTATTACCTTTGTGTCTGTGCACCACACCTGTACCGTTTATTGATAAAACCTGCTAACAAAGCTTGCTAGCTTTAGTTGACAGCGTAGCACTTCACCCTCTCTTACAGCTGACATCACAGCAGCTAACAGTGAGGCTTAAAATTGCACCACCTAAATTCCATAAAGCGTGAATAAAGTAACAGGGACTACTTTTCCACAGTGTCCACAGCTGTCCGAGTGCCCATTCCCAACTGAGATTAATGCCAACCTCAGAAAAGTCAGAGTCAGGAACCAGGTGAGTGAAAAACATTAGCTAAAACATAGAAATAGCATTTTTACACAGTTTTAGCTTTTGTTCAGTTTCACTAAATGTGTGTGTCTGAAGTTTTTTGGGTTCTTGAATGTAGCGATAACCATGTAAAAACTGCCAGAGACAGGCTAATTATTTTATGTGCACCTTTACACTATGACTGCATATGATTTCTTGGTGAGCCTTTGCAGGTCCATTTAGCCATAGCATATCTTTCTTAAAATCTCAGTATTTAAATAGATAAGTCACTGGTTGGTAAGTCACAGGTTTTTAGGTTTCTGTATTTTGTAATGTGAAAAACCCCTCTTATACAAACAAAGTGGACAAATTAAGTAGTCTGGAACCCATTAATTCAGGAGACACAACAGCAGCTGTCTGGCTGAACATAGTGGACTACATTTAATCAAATTCCGGGTCTTACTATTGTTTCAGTCAATCCCTCCCTCAAGTTCTTAAGTCCTATTTTTCTTCTGTCAGTAAAACCTCCACAACTAACGAGCCAAACTGAACAAACATGAGGTTCTATGGCTCTGTTGAGAGACGTCTGTCCCCATCAGGACAGACTGAGTAATAAAGAGATATAATCCATCTAATCAAACTTGAAATTGGGGGCGGGGAATCAGCCTTACAGAAATGATACTCTGACATTTATTTTACTAAACCTGCTCTTGATCATTCTGAAATGCACCAAACTTGATCAAATGTATAAAGCAAAGCTGCACCCATTTTAATCATAGTAGGGCCAAGTAAGCCAAGTTTGACGTTCTCAAAATGGCAGCAGTTCGAATTTTAATAAATGATATGGCCTGGTCCCAGAACAGAGGATTTTACTGGGAACAGGTAAAGAAAGGTCCCAGAAAATAATTTATTTCCCTTTATATATTTTTATATTTTGTCTCATTGCGTTAATCCTATCGCAACCCTTGAGGATGAGATTTTAGAAACTAAATAGCTCCAATTCGACCAGCTGTGTGTGTGTGTGTGTGTGTGTGTGTGTGTGTGTGTGTGAGTTAAAAAGTTTTAAGAAAAGCTTCTTTCGTTTAACACATTATAACCAGGTGGCACTTGCTTTGTTGTGTTTGTTTTTAAATCTTTAGTGTTATTTTTGCAGGAACTATTTACATTCCTTGTATCGTACTGTATGTGGTTTGGTTTTCATGTGGTTTGGTGTTTCTTTTAGCACCTACTTCAGGGGTAGGTACTCTCCAAAACAAGACAAACCTCTGAGTAATGTAAGTATACAACGACTGGTCTGGACATAAACTTCCATGCAAGTTTCACTGTTACTCTTGAGCCTTACGTCTGATTACAGCCTTAACATGAGTTTATGTTTGGTGTTTATATCAGAGTCAAAATTAGAATCTGCTTTTTATCATTATGTCAAAAGCACAACTAAATTATATGCTTCCCTATATCACTTTCACGCATAGTGGTCACTACGTATGTTGTCGGACAACATACGTTTTGAAAAGTCTTTGAAAAGTACATGTTTGAAAAAAATGAAAAATCGTTTTTCATGCGTGAAGATGAATAAAAATACTTAAGAAAAAAATCCTGATTGAGGTTGTCATAATTCATGCATTAAAGGGTTAAAATGCAAAGAAAGCAAACTATCTTAAACTTTTAATCTATCTAAAAATAAATAAATAAACGAGTTTCTAATAAATCAGTACAGTCCAAATATAATTAGACTTTCCTTTTTAACAAATCTTAGAGCCGAGGCTGGATCAGGTGACCCTGAACCTTCCCTTAGTTACACTGCAATAGGCCTGGGATGCTGGGGGCTTCCCATGATGCACTCTGTGTTTTTTCTTCACTCACCTCTTTTCAGTCTGTGTGTTTATTCACCACTTTGCATTTAGTTATTAGTCATTATTAAACTCTTTTGTCCTCTCCCTCAGCACTCACCCAGTTCCTGAGCCTGGTCGTACTGCAGGTTTCTTGCTTTTAAAAAGAAGCTCTTCCTTCCCAATGTCGCCAAGTGCTAGCTCATAGGCCGTTGTCTGATTGTTGTTGCTTTCTCTGTATTATGTAGGGTTTTTAGGTTACAATATAAAGCACCTCAAGGCAACTTTTGTTGTGATTTGGCGCTGTATGAATAAAGCTGAGTTGAATAGAATAGAAGAGTGTTGACTTGATTCTTAAGTTGTCATCTCTGTTAGTGATTCCCTGTTTAGTTGTTAGTCTCTTATGTCTTGTATTTAGCTTGACTTCCTTTCTGTCATTTGTCTTGATCAGATTTAGCTGTTTCTTGTTGCCCACCTGTATTATCCTCCTTTACATCATGTGTACATATAGCTTCAGTTTCCCTTTGTCTGATTATCTGTTTGATGGTAGTAAACAGACAATCAAATAAGCTTTGACAGTGTTCACGTCCTAGTTGTAACAGTTACACTTGAATAGAGAGCACAGCAAAATATGGCATTGTGTCTGTTAAAGGTTTCAAAGAAAGTGTCCAGATACTCACTGCTGTCATGATATACTGCCCCCCACACTGAAAGAAAACAGCAGTTTGTTAAAGCCTCATCACTAAAGGTGTAAATTTCTACCCTGCAGACTCTGAGGTTGCCAGAGCTGTATCGATCTGTGCATCTGGCCTCTGTGTCACTGCGCCTTTTCTGTATCTATCATTACCATATTTGTTGTTCTCAAAATTCATCCCTGGTGTGAGGTAAATAATTATAGTGCAGGGCCACAGGATCAAAGTTACAGTGATGCTAGATATGAAACCGTATTTAAGCAAGACAATAAAGTTAAAGTGTGGTGCAAGAGAAGTTCGACGGTACATTGTCTCCTTCCTCATAAACTTGCTGAGGTATACACAAGCTTGTAAATAATCCCCTGCACATTGACGACAATGGAGTCGGCACAGAGAAATGTTGATCAGCTGAAAATGTGACTCCTTTATCAAAAGCTGCCTGTCTCGCACTGCCAGTGTGTTTACGAAAGGATTCATTTCTGTCTTTTCATACAGTGGAAAAACATATTTGGCAAGTCACAAAAGATTGACTAAATATAACACATCTTTCAAAGGTGCAACAAACTGATTTTGACCAATTGTGTTATATTAATGTGTAACATTTTCAGTAAATTTCTAGTGGAGCAGATAACCAGGTGCACGGCCTCTTAATCTCATAAAGGCCCTTCCCATCATCCCATGCTTCAGCTCACATAACAATAACACAACATCGTACACGTAAACATTAGCAGGTTTGTTGCTCGAATTTCTTTCAGCATCTGAGCTGAAACCCATGTGTTACTTGTGAAAGAGGCAGCGAGTTCACTGACAGCACAATCACACATGATCGAGGAGTCACTCCAGCTCCTCCAGCTCCAGGACTGAGGCGATAATCATGACAGTGAGCTTGGTGTTTACCCTCTGCTGAGTGACAGTCAGCTCAATCAGCAGCTCAGACTCGAGTGGCCATGAGCCAGAGATCCTGAGCTTTATAACTAACGTACAAACCTGAGACTGAGCATGAACTCAAAGCTGATGTGCTACAGTGTTTCTAAACAACATTTCTGACTTCGTCCTCAGTAATATGCAATGATGACAGAAAGGTAGATCTATGTGTTGAATCGCACCTTGAGACTTGAATTTTTAAAGAATCCTAAGAGACTGAAGTATTTCTCACAATAAATTAATCTTGTAGTGAAAATGGCCATCGCTGTTTATCAGACAGTAAGGGGTTGTCATCAGAATGCTCATTTTTCCCAATGAATAATTTAAAAATTTAAAAGAAAATAGTTGCAGTTTTACTTTTATGCGCATCAACTCATCTATAAAACTCCCTGACTGTACAAAGATACTAGTCATAGTCATGTAATCCATGTGCACACATTAGGCACAGATGATGGCTGATGAGGACAAAGGATGAAATGCCAGTTGCCATTGCATAGCTGAATCCACTTTTAAAGGGGCAGTTTAGCAATTTACCTTTTCATGTACATCAATTTACAGGTGTGACAAGGTGAGCAGCAAAGTCCAAATGTTTAATGACTTATGTGGGTCAAATCTCAAACTACTGGATCTAATAAATGTGGCCTATAAAGCAGCATGATAGTGGAAAGGGAAAGCTCCGCTTGTTCTTTTAGCATTTTCCTTCTCTGCGTCATCATATTAAATCTCACACTGAACAATATCCTCATCGTGTTAACACAGAAATGCAATTACAAGTGATTATGTCATGACCTTCACCTTTTCTACAGCGTTTGCATGCTGTCACTTCCGGTTTGTTTACATGTGAAAGAAGTTGTTTGTTATCCAAAATTAAACTTCAAGTATCATAAAAACTCTAAAGCTCTGGAAGTTCTTAAGGGGTTTTCTTGCACATTTGTGTGACAGATGTGCAATAACGAGTAATGAAACACAAAAGTTTCCACATCATTCAAAATCGTCTGGTGTCCAAGTCCAAGCTCGAATAACTCTCACGACGTCTTGCTTTGGTGGCCTCCTGAGGTCAGCTCCACTTCCATGTTAAAATACACTTTAAATAAACATATTTGCGGCCTGGTACAGATTGCAGTTTACGACTACAGCTAATTGCCCTTCGTGACATCAGATTAATTGCTGTAAATTGTAGCAGTTAAGCATTACATGGCTGCTTTGAGTGGCAGTTAGGCACCACCCGTCACTCAACATCTCAAAGTCTTTTAAAAATGTCTAATTACCACCATCTGTTATACTACGGCTTTATCTAGTGAGAAAAGTAACTCTTTAAGCACCCTTTCCATAAAATAAACAACGCTTTGCAAATAGCTTCTGTGCGTTGGTTATATAGGCCATGCACCCTGCTGTGCATTCACCTTTGAGTGCAATGACTGTCCTTCAGAACATATCCAGTTGACATTGGTTGAACCTCTTCCAGCACATAGAGAGTTTGCGCCTAAAGGTGAATATTATGGTTTTATAGCTCTAGCACTGGTACCATTCTCCTCCTTAGTGGGCCAAACCACTATTGTTGTCTAATTAGCACAGTTCTTCTAATGTCCATATGAGGCTGGTTTTAAAACTGAGTCAGTCCCCATAGACTCCCGTGTTAAAATGCCTAACTATAATACACAAATAAACATGTTTTCAGCCTGGATAATGAAACTGTTTTGGTCTAAGCTTCATGATACGAGAGTTGGCGGTGTGAACGACAAAAGGAGCTGTCGCCAATCATTGTCTGCTAACTGGAGTCACAGAACTGAACCTCTCCACCATGTTTATGCTATTGGTGCATCACAGATGCACTATTTGACAAATACTGCATGTTACCTACTGTCCAGAAAGTCTGTGGTTCAATTCTGGTGGGTGAAATTCCAGTATATTAGTCTGTTGTTTAGCACTAATTAAATGATAACGGTTTCTTTGCATTGGACCTGTGAAGTTGATTGGTTGTGTCACAAGTCATCGGTGACATCTCTACAACTATTTCACAGTTATACCGCTGCTGTGCTTCATACTCACTGCAGTGTTCTCAGTGCTAGCAAAGGAGTGGAAGTCAAAATGAAGTTTTCTCAAGAAAGTTTTATCTTTTTAAAAATGGTGCAGGATTTTTGTATAATCTGGGAATATCTGAGCTTTCATTGAAATATGGTAAAACCTGACATGATGATACACTGACGTCTTCAACCGAACCACGTCGGCTGCGCTTCCCGCACAGAGTTACAAAAATCGAGAGGTGCACGACCAGCCTAAGCAACAGTGAAGCGTGGCTTTCAAAATGAGGACAAAACATACCATGACGGCTGAGTTCATCTTTTACATACAGTCTATGCTTTTTAAATGCAAACGGGTTTAATGTTTAATTGTTGGAGCTTCATGGTACTGAATTCTCTATATGATAATCATTTATGTTTTCAGAATTATTTGTGTGGCTTCAATGCAAAATTTTATAAACACATGCTCATTTCGTGGGAGCATGCATGTTAATAAATCACAGGTAGACTGAAGGAAGGCATGAAAATAAGAACATATGGTGTGATTCAGCTGCAGAAGGTGGGAGATGGCCTTTGGAGTTTGTTTTGCACAGCATTTTGATCAATTATTTAGGATGTCATGTGTCAAAGCCCATAGTAGCCTAACCACGTTCACCAGCATTATGGGCAGATAATAGCCCCAACGTGTCAATCGAGGATGGAAGCAGATAAGATGTGAAAGGTGATCTATGCGGTGACTAATGATAGAACATTGATCAAACACACTACTCTCTGTCGAAGAAATGAGACCCCCGTGCTGCAGCGTTGACGTCTCAAACGGGAGCTCTGCCCAGCTGCAGGATGATATTCATATTCCGGAGGTATATGTGCAGGACAAACATGCACTGATGCAAACACGCTTTGGTCACAGCAGACAAACAGAGGCAGCTCCAAGCTGTAGCATCGTGTCATGCAAAGAGACGTGGAGCCACCTCCATTTTCAAGCTCTGCTCTTTTTTTTTACCTTCTGGGAGGTGAAAGATTGCGTCCAGTGGTACAAAACGAGCCTGTCTTTGTTGAAGGGTTTGGGCTCTGCCGCCGGTTCTTCGCACTCCTCCCCGTCTGTGATTTTGCCGTCTTCATCCATGGCTGAGATGGGCCACCAGCTACAGTTGGTAGGGGTAACATGGTTGGAAGACGCCATGACAGAGCGTTTTGTGCGTGTGGAGGAGAGGAGCGAGGAGGGAGAGGATGGAGAGAGAGAGTGTGTGAAAGGGAAAGAGAGCGAGCAAGCGAACAAGAGAGAGAGAGAGAAAGCTCAGCGGCTCGAGCGCAGCAGCATCACCGGTTCACGCGGCAGCAGCGACAGCATCCATCAGTTTGGGACAGCTCCGCGCTTCCCAGGGAAAAACACGCACACCCTAATCCATATGCAAATACCGACTTACTCGAGCATGCCGTTGTACTTGCAATTAAATCGATGGGTAACCGTATTACATCACATGATGCGTTACGCACAAACATGCGCCGTGGAAACCCCTCGCAGGGAGCGCTTCAGTGGAAGGTCAATCGGCTCCTGTAAGGACAATGGAGGCTGTGGGCCACGGTACGCACGCAAATTTTCATTGTGTGGAGCGTAGTCTGCCTATAGGAGCAGCTCATTAAATAATCAGAGGACTTCAAGTGCTTTTCTTTCCGTTACCGGGAAACTATTTGGACTAGGCCATGGTGTCAAACTCACTTTAGTCCGTGGGTGACGTGCAGCTCAATCTCGAGCCACACCAGTAAACCGATTACATAATAACTTTTAATATTCCGAACTCCTGATTTACTCTCTTAAAAAGGCACGTAGGGCCTAATTCCCCGTGACCGTAAAATCATTTAAAGTCTTCCAAAATTAACGGAGATATCGACAAAATGTGAAGAAACAAGGGACGCAACACAATAGAGCAACATTTGTTTTAATTTGGAAAAAAAACATTATCAACTGAAGTAGAAGTAGAGCCGTGCTGCACTTTCATGTAATACCAATTTACACCACAAGATGACGCACTGGGACAATCAATCCCCCCCATCAGTCAAGACATTAAAAATACTTTATTTACAGTTGCTAAGTAAACTGAGGTAAAGCTAAAATTAAATGCCCAGATAAAAACAACATACATCCCAAAATATTTCAACACACCCCAACTTAAAGAACTGGACACTGGTGAGGACAGTTTTTGTTAAAATATACAGCGAGCATTTAGAAAAAGTAATGTAGAAGTTCACAGTAAATACGTTGACCAGATCCTAATTTTATTTATTTTATTTATTTTATTTATTTATTTATTTTTAATCTAAAACCATCTGTCCAATAAGAAGATAAAACTTACAACAACAGAAGTTATTACTTCTTGTTAATATTTTTCTCACTTAATGGGTGATTCATCTTTTACATAAAATAAGTCATGCTCCAAGAATATTTCCAAATTGTTTTTTCCCACATTTGTGAGTCAGATCAAAGTGAAAAAGCACAAAAAAACTTCACACGCAGATGGTTTTGTAATTAAACATACCAGTGTTATTTCTTTATGAAACAATGTGCCTATAGATCTAGGCATCCATCCTTTTTGTCTCCTGTGGAATAAAACTGGCCTCGACACACCAAGAATAGAAATGGATTTTATGGAAACAGAATGAAGTAATTAGGCAGCATAGTGGTTCGCACTGTCACTTCATAATAAGAAGATCCCTGGGGCCTTTCTGTGTGCATTTTGCATGTTTTCCCTGTTCCTGTGTGGGTTCTATGTGGGTAATAGTGGAATGAATAGTGGAATTGTACAGTGCTTTGAGGGCCCCGAAAAGAGCTATATAAATGCAATCCATTATTATTATTATTTGTGAACTATGCTTAAAAGCCAGGCCTGTGCCAGGAAACCAACCAATTTAAATGAGCTCTATCAATTGTGCCACGAAGAGTTGTGAAATATCCAGTCAGAATTATTCCAGATGCTTGTTGATGGCTACCAAAGCATGTAGCTGAGGTGCAGTTTCTTAAGGCAGGGATGTCAAACTCATTTTACATCAAGGGCCACATACAGCTCACGTATATATCAGTTTTTTTACCACCCCCCACATACAGACCAGTGAAACTCCACTTTCTGTCAGTGTAAAGACGTTTAACTCATCTACAAGTCTTAAGATAAGAATAAATAAAGGAATGATAAAGAAATGCTGCTGTAGTAAATGAAAGAACTGTCAGCAGGACTTTATTTTTTAAAAAAAAGGAGAATGTTTATGTGTTACTTTATTACTGTAAACATAACTAAAACATAGCAACTAAGAGTTAAAAGTTTTTCCTCTAAAGTTATCCAGTCAACTGGACTGGAGTCTTTGCTGGGCCAATTCTGGCCCCCAGGCCTTGTGTTTGACCCCTGTTCTAAAGGACATTTAATTATCAGTGGGTGTGCATGTATACTTTTGATCCTGTGTAAATTATAGAAAGTTTCAAATTCACACTTTTCCACCTAATTTTAAAGTCATAAAAGAAGTATGCTGTACGATGATTCCAGTCTGGAAAAAGAAGAGTTCAAATTAAAAGCCCAAACTAACCATGACGTCCATTTGTGGATGTAAACGTTTGACCACAACTAATTGAAATTAATCCCAACCCTGGAAATAAATACATAATTTCTTTGCTTTTTGACTTAATTAGCATTGAGATTAGAAATATATTATTGGTTTTACAAAAAAAAAATATGTTAGACATCCTGCAGCACTGTAAACTATATTCATCTTTTTAGTAATATCCAATAACAGTTGACTTCTGTTTATGTACAGACGTCTACCTTAAGTCAGTGTGCTGATTTTTAAAAATGCTATTCAGTGTTTATTTCAGTGTTAGACACAACAAATAGAATAATTTGCAAAGCAACAAACACTTTCTTGTATGATGTTATAGTGTTTTTGTTCTTTTAAAGAGCATCATTTTTCAGACTTATTTATGCTACTCTGAACTGAATATGTGCTCTACCAAACTGACTGCATATGCAACAAATGCAACAGCTTACTATAAAGGCCAGTTCTCTGCAAAAATTCTAATAAAAATTGAGAAATTTTGAAAATGTTTTTATTAATTAGGTGCAAACAAACTGGAGTAACCATGTAAAATAAGGTGAATGATTGAGTGTAATCTCCAAAACAGCAGCTGTCATTGGCAGCCTAGCACATAGTTTGGGCTGGTTGTTCCATATCCTGGGGACATGGCTTGCTATAGAAATGCCAGCCCAGTCCAGAATTTACCAGAGATTTAGTCTGTCTCAGTCTCTGCTGGTTTCCTGCATAATCCCAGACAGACTCCAGGAAGCCAGAATCAGGGCTCTGCAGGGGTCTTACCATCTGTTCACAGTACTCCTTGTTCTTTTCATGACCTGTTTGTTGTAGCTCAGATGCCTTTCTAAATGCACCCTGTGAGGACTGAAGAGTTATGCACATTTCAATATAGTTTAATTTTTATCTGACAAAGTCTAAGCAATCCTGTCCCTAAACCTATTTTATTAGCTTGAGACTCTACAGTTTAAACATGTGTAACTAAACGTGTTTTTAAAGAATAAACTGGGAGGCTTGGGTCTTTGGTTTGACTCCTTAGAAAAAATATTCCACATATGATTCCTCCTCTAGGCCTTTCACGTGAGTTTATTTCAGTAATTATTCAAGACTGAGGAAAACAACTGGTAAATGATTGAGCCTGCAGCTGAGACAATGAGCTGCTAAAGAAGTCTGCTCAGATTCTTTCTGACTTGCTACCTCAAATAATAGAAGTTAACATTTTTCAGATACAAAAAGAGTAGATGTTCTTACCAAGACTTGAAAGCAGTTTTAAGCAGTCAAATTGGGTAACAATAATTTCCTAAAAATCACAGATTCATGTTCTGACCTTTGGAAGCAACAAAAACAGACCCCACTGCCCAATTTTGGATTCATTAGACAAAAAAACAACAAAAAAAAACAACAACCCCAAAACACTAGTTTAAAATGGCAATTGATTAATATCAAGGTCAAGCTATCAAAAGCTTAACATTGTATGTTAGACAGGCATTTTTCTACCTTTTTTATCTTAAGCAAAGGAGTATAAGTGCAAACCCTTTCCTTGTAATAGGATACTTAACATGAATGCACAAACACCGTTACTCAATTAAAATACCTGAGTACATATTCCTCTTCTACAGAACCCAGTGGTTCAATTGATTTAGGATATTTTAAGCCCAGTGTTCTTAGGCCAGTCTGCAAGACAATCTGCACCTCTATAACTTTTTGTCCGGCGCCATAAGCAAGGAATTCAGTCTGCATGGTAGATTTCCTTCATTACGTAATATGATACAACAGAATGAGAACAAGGGAGCATGGTCCCTTCAGACTGAACCGTTCTGTTTTAGTAATCAAAGCTGACTAAAGCTTAATACTGATAGATGCAGCTGATCAAGATATGTCACCTCACTAATGTTTCAGAAATATAAATCAGTGATAAACTGACTCAGATTTAGTTTAAGTTACAAACACAGCATACTTCCTTGTGCAGCCTTCATTCGTATGCTGGCTCCTGAAATTGGCACAGAGTCATCCCAAGTTTGACAACTCAAGTTTTCAAGCAAAATATGTTGTTGTTACCAAAACGCTCCAGCAGAGGGCTGAAGAGTGATACATAACTGATGCAGATCTGATGTCTCATTGGAAGGGGCATAAGTGTGAGTGTTTATGTTGGATTTGTTTTTCTCCTGTTGTTACATTGGCTCAGATTTTGGACACACACAAAAATTAAGAAAAAGAATTCATGGTTGTTCACAAAGTACACAAAGTCATACATCAAGTCTGGGAGTTAAAGCAAGAATCCATAAAAGGGGTACATTAATAAATCCAAGGTAAACACACAGAGCACAAGCAGACAATCAAGAATCAGGAATATATAACATAAACAGAAGGAAACAGAAGGAAAGAGGAATATATGCTCACTGGCCATTTTGTTAGGCACACCAGTTTAACTGCTTTTTACTCCAAATAAATAATCAGCCAACCACAAGACTGCATTTACACTCAATGCATATACAAATATAGACATGGCCAAGACAACCTGCTGAAGTCCAAATTCAACATCCGGATGGGTAAGGTGGTTTCAGTGACTTTGGATATGGCGTAGCTGCTGGTGCTGGTTTAAGTATTTAAGTGTTTAATTATTTAAGGACCTGCTGGGATTTTACCAAACAGTGCTCTCTAGGGTTTGCAGAAAACAGTTTGAAAAAGATAAAATATCCAGTGAGCACCAATTCTCTGTGTGAAAATGCCTTATTGATGCCAGAGATCGGACTCCTTTGAGCTAATAGGAAGGTACCAGTAACTCAAATAACAACTCATTATATACAGAAGAAAATCTCTGATGTACAACATGTCAAACCTTGAAGGAGATAGGCTATAATTCATACAGGTTCACCAAAATTATACAAGAGTAATTTGGAAAAACCAGACCTGATGACATTTGTGTTACCTCACCTGAATGGTAAGGTCAGAATTTGCCATAAACAACATAAAAGCATGACTCCATCCTGCCTTGTATTTACAGGTCAAGTTGTTGGTAGTGACATAATGGAAACAGTATTTCCATCTTCTGATGGCCTCTACCTGCACAGTAATGCACCATATCATAAAGCTCCAGTCATCTCAAACCTGTACTAGTAAGCTGTACCTAATAAAGGGGCCAGTGAGATAGCAGATAAGTGTGATTAGTGATGACAGTCAGGTGGGCAACAGGTGAAACTGATGAGGATGAGGGATACAACCACAAAGGAGGAAAAAGGAAGTAAAATACAGCAAATCTAACTTTCAAAGTAAAACTGGAAGAAAAAAAAAAGAAAAAAAATGACAGACAAGACGGAGACAGGGGAACTAGAAAGCAGAAGAAACTAGACAGAGAAACATTTTTTTCCTAGTAAAACAGGAATATATAACATACTAGCAGCACACATGGTACCAAAAGGGATCTATATGCATGGCTACATTTATGGAGAAATAAACCACAGAGACACATGCTGAAGCCTAATTTGCACTGGAAATATTGCACTTGACTTAATGTCACGAGAACCACAGGCGCTTTTCCGTCATACAGGAAGATGAATTGGATGCAACAGTGGTGCATGTGCGCTCACATATCTCTCTGCTGAAGCTTAACAGCCTATTAGAGAATAATTGCGCTCCAACTGCATTAACTGGGCGCACCGTGTGTGCAGCAGTAAAACCTATAGAGAGCTGAGTCCTGTCCCGAAGTGGCAAGACTCTCTGGCATGGCTCCTTGCAGGCAGCAGAGTAAGGATTGGGTTGTATTTTTGGAAGGGTGTGTGTGTGTGGATTGGTCGCCTTGTTAGGTCTGCTAAAATATTTCCAACAGCAGCGACTGTCGGGAGATAGCTGGGTGGCAGGGACAGGGGGAAAGGGGCTTTTCTCTGTGGCCACCTGGTAAAGCCATGTAAGATCCCTGGCTTTTCAAGGCAGAAATACAGAAACAATTCCGATTCAGTAACCGGTAATAGGATCCAAATTTGCAACGAGGTATAATTTATCCTGGAGGGAATCCGTGGAGTGGGTAGTTAATTAGCTTAATCGACGAATCCAATAAGACAGTGGAGTAATCCAGAGAAAAGAAGGGAGGAAAAACAGAATAAAGTGTGAAGTGCGCCCCGGAGCTTCATGGACACGCTCAGAAACCCCCAAACCAACTTCCAAAGAAGAAACCAAGTTCAGCACTGAGGGTATCTCCTGCCAGTTTTAATGTCAGGTGAAGGTGAAGTCAGACTAACGGAGCTCTTATCTTTAGACAGGTAACAGAAAAAAAAAAATCAGCTTTACTTTCTGTGCGTTTTTCTGCGGTGAGGAATGAGTGGAGGTCGCTTTGAGTTTGATGACGGTGGAGCTTACTGCGGAGGCTGGGAGGGGGGCAAAGCCCACGGCCATGGCATCTGCACCGGACCCAAAGGACAGGGCGAGTTCTCGGGCTCCTGGAACTACGGCTTCGAGGTGGTGGGAGTCTACACCTGGCCCAGCGGGAACACCTACGAGGGATACTGGTCGCAGGGGAAGCGTCACGGTCTGGGAGTAGAAACCAAAGGACACTGGATTTACAAAGGGGAATGGACTCATGGATTCAAAGGGAGATATGGCGTCCGGATCAGTGTTGGCAGCGGAGCAAAGTATGAGGGGACATGGAATAACGGGCTCCAGGATGGATATGGCACAGAGACGTATGCGGATGGAGGTGAGAGTCGCATTAAATATGCCCACAACGACCAACAAGTGGGGGAAAAAAAAAAACTTTGATGTTTTTATATTTTTCGATAATGTGCTGTTAGAAGTTTGATATGTGACGTATTCGTTGTTTTAATTGAATATCACATATTTTGTATGCCATGTGTATCTAATAATTATCATTAGTCTGTAAAGGCTACTTCTTTGCAAGACTTGTATGATAGACTCGATACTTTAATTCGTAAATAAATGTAAGAAAACACTAAAGTTGCCACATAAACAGTGCAATGGAAAGCGAAATTATTACCTCTACAAAAATCTATAGAGAAGGATAACAAATATACAGCAAAAAAAAGGGGGGGGGGGCACCTTATAACTGTGAAAAAGTGAAATATTCACATATATGCACTTTGTTATTGTTTAAAGAAAGACGTGCACATTAAAACTGCCGGTATAGTCATTGAAAATGCTAATGTGCCTCTAAAGCTAGTGCTGATAAACGTATTACTCCTTAAATATAGAAATAATCAAATAAATTACCATTTACTGTACTACAGCAAGTAAGTACACATGCTCAAGCACATCCACTTATCTATGTTTGAGTACATCACTTGAGTACATGGCACTGTGATGAACAGATGCTTGTGGTCAAACTGCAGATTCATGTCTCAGCAGGATAATCGGGTTTCTGAATCTTTAAGTAAAACTAATAATAGATAAATGAAGGACTTGAGTATTTTTGTTACTGTACTCAGTAAAATACCGATTTAAATGTACATAGTTACTACTAAATAAAAATAATGCTGCTGCTGTAGGTCTCTGCAGAGTTATGAGTATTCAGATTATTTTAATATTAATCAAGATGGCTAAGGGCAGCTAAGAAATATACTGTATATATTAAAACTGCAGCAGCAGACCACAGTAGGGTCAGAGGTCATCGTGTGGCTGAACCTCTTCACAACATTCCTCTCAATGAGGAAACGTTGCTAGTTTGAGGATTTTCAGTCAGTATTGCTGAGATTACTGATGCACTTGACAACTGAAAAGGTTTAGGTGATTCAACTTCTTCATGTGCTTTTAAAAGCTGAATTGAACACATCATGACCTTCATGGTTTTAACTGCTATCTATAGCTATAAAATAAATGTGAAGTCCTGAAGTGCAGTACTTTATTACTATTGTTCTGCTTGTAAATCTTGCAACATCACAAGCAAACTCCTGCCAAGATTGTTGGAGACAAATCCGTGAGTGCAAAACAGACCGGCCTGATGAACTCGGTGGTCTTTAATGATGCCTCTGTAACAAGAAGAAAACACCACCCTGCTGCTGTCAGTCAAGAGGTGCTCAGAGTTTGTTGGAGCTAAAAACCCCTACATGGATGTTTCCAGTTTGTTACACTACACGTCACAGTGGCAAAATAAGTACTCAAAATTAATAAAAACACAAAAAGAAATGCCCTCAAGTCTACGTCTTACACAAGTAAAAGTACTAAGCATACAAAACGTGTAGTAAAGTGAGCAGTTGTGCAGCAGTACTAGTCCTCTCAACTGTTATACGTTGTATATTATGTCATTTGTATATCATTTATGAATGCGGCCACTGTGTTAACAGTGTATCAGGAAGGAAACATTATTATCGAACTTTGTGTGTGCATTTTTTTGTACACTTTCTCTGGGCGCTTCTCTTGGTTCTACTTAGCCCGTCAGCTCACTTACTTAATAAAATGAGTTAGACGAATAAAATTAATTGTGTTTGTACAACAGCAGTGGTTTCCCTCCTTAACCTCTGACTCATCAGCTTTGAGGTGCGGTGCGTTGGAAGATGTGGTTGGAGGCGGGTGGGTGTGAGAGCACCAGATGTCAGGATTTAATATTAGCCCACATATTTGGTGCCCTCTTGGCCTTGCAGGCTGAGGCCTTGCTGTCACTGTAATCCACACACATCAATTTTAGCATGAGAACACACACTAAGATGACTTGTCAGCGAGGGTATTACTGAATGAGATGTGTCACTCTAAAGATATCCATGACATTTTGGCAGAAATGAACGTTTAAACAACAGTCTCCAGGAGCGATAGCAGCTCTGTGAGCCTGGACTCAAATAGGCTAACAGGCTAATATGTTAAGAATGGCATTATTAACATGCTAATGAAGCTAAGGTGCTAAGATTTACTATTTTCACAATCTTCAATTTAATTTATGGTAATGCACTGAATCCCTGCTGTAGTGGGTGATGCCATTTGCATCCTGTGAGCTGGTGTGTTTCCACTGCTGAACAGTAACTTCTGCTAAGACACAGAAAGGAGCAAAAACTTAAGAGCTGACTTTGAGTCAATACATTTATTGCAGGAGCTATGAAAGCATCACATGCTTTTGCATTAATGTAATGAGCAAATTAGAGATAGTTGCAGCCTCTTAAATTATTTCTGAGCCATTATCCTTCTGCTAATCAATATAATGTGTTTATACCGCATATTCTTAACAGACAGACTTATCAAAGGTGTTGAAGTCTGTATAGCTGTGATGTTAGGTAACATTTCTCAGATAGTGAGCATCAGGATAGGGTATAAGATACAATGTAGGTTTAACACAGTGCATTCCTCCTTTGTGTAATTAGCACAAAATACAGACGGCACAACAAATAAAAATCATACTTTTTTCGCAGGTGCTATTTACATAGCACACAAGCTATCTCGAGGTGCTTTATAATGAAAGATCAACATGATCACGCTGTGTGCAAGCCCTGGGAGGAAGTGCTCCATTTTAACAGGAAGAGACCTCATACACACTCAGAATTAGGGAGCTACTGTAACTGACTGGTGAGTGAGTGGACAGAGGAGACAGAAAAGGAGAGACAACAAACAGTAAACAGGATGAATCACAAACTACAGGAGAGAATAAACAAAAACAAAGAACAGGCGGCACATGCTGCTGCACTTCCTGTCTGTCCATCAGGCAGGCTGTCACAGGGCTTCTCCCTCTTGGTAATTTCTCGACTGTGTCTTGATTAACTGGATTGTCTCACCATCACGTATGACTGGAATGTTTAACAGCAATCATTTCAAAATAAAAGCAAAAGAATCCTGTGCTTTCTGCCCAGAGTCTATGACAAAGTTCTTAATGATAGTCAGCTGTTCAAATCACCTTCTTGCAGTTCCAGTGGTTTTGCAATTGCTTGATCAGAAATAAAAGTGTACGAGGATGGGGAAGTCAATAAAATCTGCATCTCAAAATCTTAAAGTTCTATGAAAACTTCTTTCTAAGATCAAAAAGTATTCTTGAACAAAAGATCAGGAAGTCTGTGACCTGATTGTAAATGTCATTATGATTTCCAGTGTTAGTGGGGTCTGTCTTCTATGTCCATAAAAAGTGCAGTGCAGTCTTTCCCAATGTAGATGATTTGGTGTTGATTTCATCCTGATCAAGGTGGAAACACGTTTCTAGGGTTAAATACCTTGTGCTCAGGATCTGCGGTGTAGTAACAAAATATTTACAACTTATTTTTTTAATGGTTTCCAGGTACATTTCAGGGTCAGTTCACTGGTGGGATGCGGCACGGCTATGGTGTTCGACAGAGCGTCCCCTATGGCATGGCAGCAGTTGTCCGCTCCCCTCTTCGTACCTCCTTGACCTCCCTTCGCAGTGAGCACAGCAATGGCACCGTCCTGCAGCAAGACGTCCCAATCATCACCACCACCAATGCCTCAGGTGAGGAGACACCCGTCGCCACTCCTACCCAGCTGGGACCGTCTCGAGGAGGCTTTGCCCTCACACTCCAGGTGGACCCTGGGGCTGTTAAAAACAAGAAGAAGGGCCTATTTCGCAGGAGCTCCCTACTGGGTAAGCTGAAGAAGTCCGACTCAAGCACATCGCTGTCCAGCCAGAAGAGCAAGATCAGCTTCCTGAGGCCGGATTCAGCTCTCAGCTCCAACGCCAGCGACACCAACTCCACAGTCAGCATTGGGGATGAAAGTCTGGCTGGAGCTGAGGATTTCCCCCCAGTGGAGGCTGACATTGACGCCACCACCACAGAGGTCTACATGGGCGAGTGGAAGAATGACAAGCGCTCAGGATATGGAATAAGCGAGAGGTCCAGCGGGCTGAAGTATGAGGGTGAGTGGCTCAATAACCAAAGACACGGCTACGGATGCACCACGTTCGCTGAGGGAGGGAAGGAAGAAGGCAAGTACATGAACAACATGCTGGTGAAAGCCATGAAGAAGAGGGTGATCCAGCTGAAGGGAACCAAGATCAAGCAGAAGGTGGAGCGGGCAGTGGAGGGTGCTCAGAGGGCTGCAGCCATCGGCAAGCAGAAGGCAGAGATTGCTGCTTCCAGGTAAGAAACCAGAGAGATCATTCTTCTCATGCCTTTTTTTTTTAATCATATTTGGTCTATTATGGGTATTTTTTTCTATCCTCAGAGCAAAACTATGATTTCGACATGCTTCTTAGGTTAACTGGTGATTCTAAATTAGCCTTAAGTGTGAATGTGAGTGTTAGTGGATGTCTCCCTTACAAAGGACTTGTAATTTTTCTATGGTATATCCAGCCTGTTGTCCAGTTGCAGCTAAGATCAGCTTCAGCCCCCTGCAGTGAGGCTAAGCTGTCAAGAAAATGGATCGCTGGATAAATCTCCAGCGATCTTTAACAGTGGTATTAAATACCACTGAGGGTCGCTGGCTCTGTTGTTTTTGTAGAATTTGGCTACTTTTGAAGTGTTTGCACAAGTGTATTTTTTGTCAAACTCGGCACAAACCCAGCAGATCAGCAGATATCGGTGCCTTCCAATTGGAAAATCCCATGTGGGTGCTTCAGTCTCCTTACAGTAGCTGCACATAAGCATGTTGCTTTGCACTACACTTGCACTCCTTCTCTTCTTTTAATGTTGTTTTTGACTTAATATCTGATCTGTTTTTGATTGAAGCCCACTCTGTTCTGTCCTTGGGTCCTTCTGCTGCTCTCACTAGCTTGTCCATTACCGATATACACATGGAAGAGCGATGAGAGCCGTAGGGGTGGGGGAAAAAATCGATACTGTGTAGTATCGTGATATTTTGTTTGCTAATAATGTATCGATACAGGGACAGCAGAAATCGATATTTTGTTACTAAAAAGGTTTTTGTGCTCTGACTTCAGAGCATGTTGATCCTTTTTCTGTGCAAGAATCCTGACATTCCTTCACTGTCCAAATGTGTTTAATTTTTTTTTGGCAGCAATAAACATGACGTTTACTTATTTTAATTTAAGACATGTTTTATTTTAATTAAGTTTAAAACTTTTTTATTTAATGTAAATTTATATTTTGTTTTAATTTACTTTCAAATTCTTCAGTTGCTGAAGGGCCTGCATAGTTTTCATAAATTGCATAGTTCAGAATAGCTATAATTGTACCAGATGGTTGCATTCAGTTAAGTTGGACTAGACTGTAATACAAACCGTTCAGTTTGTCAACAATAAAACTGACTGAAATGAGAGAAAGACTGAGTGCGAGACTTTGATATTAGATAAAATGAATATTGATAACGTTTACCTTTATGTACAGAATCTGAATATTGCAAAATATATATTTTTTTTTAATCGCAATAATATCATATCGTGCGTTAAGTATTGTGATAATATCGTATCGTGGGATGTATGGTGATTCCCACCTCTAGAGAGCCGACATCACCAAATATAAATCACAGCAGATGGAAATGTCAATCTTCTTTTCACTGCACTGGTTCAGACAGAAATATCTATAAATAAAACAAAAATAAAATCAATTATTTTAAAAATCCTACAAAAGGGAGTAAAGACAAGTATGTAGGCACCCCCCAAACTGCAATCCACATAAATACAAACACACTATGTGCTGTAATTGTCTTAGCTACTATGATTTTCCGTAATGTGAATAAGGATAGTTTTGAATTGTTTGGCAACCTTTGCAGTAGAGCTGATGAGATATTTATTTATTCAGATGGCTGAAAGAGTCTTTTATGATCCAGGAAATGCCTTCAGAACCTTTCAGCAGCACTGCTTTTATAACAGGTGCTTAGCCCTGTGACTTATATGTAAATTAAATGGTTAAAAGGCTTAAAGTCGTGCTAGGATTTGCTAAAGGTCAGTTTGTGTGAAGGCAAATGAAGTTCACATACTACTAACATTTATTTAGAGCCTTTATCTGTCATTGTAATCATCCATGGCTTTGGCTGCAAGTCCAAATAAACCTATAACAGAAATACCTTTAATCAATGTATTATAGCACAAACTGGACAACCCATTGTTAAAAATTCATGTGGGTTCTTCTGGTTACCTGTTTAGTTTTTTGTGGTGAAACTGGAAAGTTCACAGGCATAACTTTTCTCCCTCTCAGTGTGTGTTTCTCAGTTTATCTGCCTGAATTGGCACTGTGTACAACATATTCAAACAGTGAGACTGGAGTGACCTTTAGAGCTCCACTGCACTCAGTTACAGGAGTGGCTGAATATCTGATAGCTTTCTGATAGATTTCAACGTTAGGAGGAGAATACATATCTGAAATCTCTATATGTGCTTCCTGCTGCAAGCCCAGATCGTAGTCGACAGAGGATTTAGTTGAATACCTGAGGAGCAGAAGATCTCTGGATTTTTCTAAATGAGTTTGCTTATAGTTTAACACAGAGCCTACAGGGCAACCCATAAGTCTCATCATCCCCATGAAAGAGAAACAAAATCCAAAATCTCTAAAGCTGAATAATTAACATGATATTTGAGTTGTGAACAGAAGAGTACTTATCATGGAGTCGTGCAGGGTATTTGAGTAATGGCGATGCTGGCCTTTTAGCGAAAATCTTAGATGATTCACAATCTGACACTTTTACTCCCTGCAGTTGTCAAAATGTTGATGTATCTTACAATAGTTGGAATGTAGCAAGCAGCTCCACAGTATCAGTTTCCAGCTCACCACTGTTGGCCTTGAACACGACTTCTCAGAAATGACTCCCCGCTGGGATCCCAGGGTCCTTACAGCCATGCTCCTCCTGGTGTGAAAACGCTAAAGCATGTGTGGACGTACATGCTTTAATCTTATATTTGTGTGTCATTGTAAGAGGTCGGGTCATTCAGAATTTTTGATTTTAATAGTTTGAGGTTTCCAATAATCATTTGATCAGTGGTTCAAATTCCTGAGCTTATTACACCCAAAGCCTGGAAGTAAAACAGGTGATCTTCTGGAGTATTTGTAGCCAGAAGTATCATTTTATGCAAGACTACACGGCATTTTTATCCTTTGTTCGCCTGTTCTACAATGATCATGTTCCACATTTTGCATCTAGTCTTCTAAATTTGAATATTTTTAATGGAGAGACTGTGGGGAAACCACCAGGGACTGTCATCCTGGGAGTCCTGTAGGAAAACATGATAATGTCTTTTCCAAGGTGGAAAACTACAAGTAACAAACTATGGCAATTTGGGAAGGCTTCGGTGAAAAAGTAGAACAAGTAAAAAGCAAATTCAGCTATGTCAAAGATCAGAAAGTTTGTTTTTCTTTGTTTTTTAGTCTCACAAGAAACCTGCAGCTCCGAGATGTTTCAGTTGATAGATGCATCCCTGCTAAAACCCAAAGGATTTCTAGATCAAAAAAGAAACTGAAATAACAGTTAAGAACAGTTTAGTGAAATTAAAAAAAAAAGAGGCCACATGAGAGTAAGAAACAACTTCCTTTTATGTACAATGTATTTATTTAGCAAGGAATATATTCACACAGGAAATGTGCTTCACATGCTAAATTCCTCTGAGCATTTGTAACCTGCCCCACACAAACATAGTCTGACCCTATTATAACCCCCTGTGATGCCAGAAATGGCCTTTGCTGAATCCTATTAGAAGGGAAAATGTACTTAATTGTATGGCTGCATATAAAAGATGGACACTGGCACTCAGTGGTTTCTGCACTTTACCTTTTGAAGCCTGAACCTTAGTTTTTTGGCTGCTGATTGTATTTAGATGAGAAGGTGGGAGTACTAAGTTAAGCCAACAGTACCGAGCTTGGTTACCAAGCTGCATCCGTAAACAGTGCAGCTGCAATGCACAGACAAAGATGCCTGCCACAAATTTTTTTGGAAGGTCTGTTTTTGCTAACATCCCCACAGCGAGCCATATTATCTGTCAGATAAATTAATTAAAAACACTCCAAAAGTCACAAAATTCAGTAGAGAGTATAAATGGTAAATGGCCTGTATTTATATAGCGCTTTACTAGTCCCTAAGGACCCTAAAGTGCTTTACACATCCAGTCATCCACCCATTCACACACACATTCACACACTGGTGATGGCAGCTACATTGTAGCCACAGCCACCCTGGGGCGCACTGACAGAGGCGAGGCTGCCGGACACTGGCGCCACCGGGCCCTCTGACCACCACCAGTAGGCAAGGGGTGAAGTGTCTTGCCCAAGGACACAACGCTCGAACTGGCAACCTTCCGATTACAAGACGAACTCTCAACTCTTGAGCCACAATCGCCCTAAGAGTAGCATTTCCCATAGTGTCAAACTATTCCTTTAACTAGGTGAAAAACCTTTTGGATGAGCACAGAATGCATGAGTGTGATTATGTTTAAGTCATTATTGTGATTAATCGCTACCCCGATTTGTCTCACAGATTTATTTAAACCTTTCTCTCACACATTGCAGCACAATCTGATTTAAAATTAATGCAGGAAATCCTTTTTTATTATGTGATTCATGTGTGCACAAACATGTCTACCTTCAGATTGTCTGACCATACAAGGCGGTGGTGTTTTTGCCGTCTTCAAGACCTGAAATAGGCTGAGTGTTTACAGCAGTGAGACTTGCACTGATGGACTGCAGACCCCCGTCCCTGCAGATTGAAATCTAAATATTGTACTGCAAAGATAAGCAGTATATGAGAGTTACTCATTGTGTCAGTGCTTTAGGATCACCTGAGGCAAGTCTGAACAGAGAAAAGCAGATTTCACATTTAACACGACTGTCATCAGGAAGAGCCTAAAAAAGTGCTGGAAGGTCAGTGCTGAAATTTCAGCTGCACCGCATTTTACAGGCAAACTTTGGTTTTCATTACATTTACTTGGCAGTTTGAGTTACTGTTTACGTTTAAAATTGACTTCTAGTATTTACATATTAACTCTTTAGGATTCTGAGTATTTTTGGCTCTTTAACCGTCCATAAAAACAGTTTTGTAAACTGGTTGTAAACAAAGTTCGGACTGGAGCTCGGGACTCTTTGAGGGCTGTCTTGTTTAATTTGAGGGGAATAAAATAACGGGTCAGTAATTAGAAAAACAGATGAGCTCTCTGTACTATTTCTTGTTATGTGACCTCCGAGCAATGTTGCAATAA